TGTGTGTGTGTGTATATATATATATATATACACACACACACACATATACATACACATACACATATACATACATACACACACATATACATATACATATACACACATATATTCCCTACATTTTCATCTGCAGCTCCAAAAATGTGTACCAATATATGAAAAGTATATCATAGTATTAATGTTAACAGTTCCTTAAATGTAGTATATTTCCAAGTTCCATAAGATTTACTTTCACGCACCTTTTCATAAAATCCATAATTAACTTGTATAATTAGTCCATTTATTTCTTTAAAATGTAGATTACTTTTCTTACCTAATATTTAATCCTACAAAATTTGTCCATGTGAAAATATAATCTCCTCCAAAGAACATTCCTATGTAAGTTATTAGTATATTCTGGAAGTAAACAAATAAACAGAATTTAAGCTTTTAAACAGAGTGTTTAAGTAGACTTGTCAAATAGAAGATATTATGTCCATAAATTGCCATAATACTTAAAATATTTATAAAACAATGAAGAAAAAAATCACAAATGCTGTCCCACCAGTAAAAGAAACAAATGCAATCTGATTACCTTAAAAATTAAATTTAAGTAGTTACAATTCTATAAGAAATTGCATGAAGCCCCACAGCTCTACCACATCACCTCCATCTGTCAGCTTTTCCCACACATACTGCATTTGTTAAACAAAAATTACCATTTCTCTCTCACATACATAAAGGCCAATTCAGGTCACAAGTTTTTCTATATCAGGCTAATACAATATTTTCTACGATTTTCTTTCCAATATTTACCCTGAAAAAAAGTAGGGCTGAAATGGGTCTATTTTTTGAAGAAAACTTGCAAAATGAGATACCTATTTATTGGTTCTAAAAATTTAAAGAGCTTACCTTAATACAGCCAACTATTGTAGTTGTAAGGGCAGAGTTATACTGAGTGCAAAGTACTGTTGAATACATCAGAATAAACCTATATAAGATAAACAAGATTTTTACAATCAGTTTAATATAATTCAGACATGGACCAAAGACAGATGAGTAGTCAGTTTTTGGGAAACCAAAAACTGACTACATAATTCCTGAATTTTTGGAAAGAATGTTTAACAATAATGGGTTAGAGTCTCTAGAGACCCCACAATCATTAGATGTGATTTGATGCCACAGCAAAATTCCCAATTGTCATTATCCATACATCTATTATGAAATAAGATCCAGAGTCTTTGAGGCCTATCAAAAATTTTAAAAAAACCACCCAAGTTTATTACAGTCAAACACCAGAACAAATAGAAACACTCAAGGAATAGCCAGCTAAAAATTCTAGAATAAAAAAATAAATAGCAATTAAAATCTATATTAAAATCACAATTTGGCATCCAATATGTTAGTTACACATGGCCTAACTATACTATTAATCAATCCAACTGTGAAGCCCATAGTCACTAATTACTAAAATGCAAAAGAGCAGTAATGCAAAAGGGTTTGCTACATTAGTTGTGTAAAATAGCTATGGTGGATTAATCACGTGTTTCGGACAATTCCCCAGTGCTGCTATGTAGAATCTAGCCACCTGCACTGTAATCAGTCTGTTTGTCCTTAAGCAGCCACTGGAGATAAGCAGTGTCAGAACAGTCAGGATATCTATCAATTATTGGGAGGATGTGACACAAATTCATTGAGGAGGAGAAGGAAGGATTTTTTACCTTTAAAATCTCACTCTAGATTTACTCCAGAAGAACTATAATAAAAACAATCCAGAATATATTCCAAGGGATATACTGGAATCGGCCATTGCCCCTTTTTGCTATTATATTTGTGTTAAGAGTTTAAAGCTACTGAAATGGGCATGAGGTATTGTATATCAACAATAATTGTTTTCTTATGCTCTACCTGCCTGCTGTATTTGATTATATCAGAAAATACTATACACTAAAATAAAGTTGCCAGAAAGACTTTAATGCATTGGAGAAGCCAAAATAAAGTATTCTTACCCCATCACACAAGAGAGTGTAAATTGTGCAAGGAAAAGGGTATCTGCCCAACCTTTATATTCCATTGCCTGAAAACAAATTGTATGTCTATTTATTAATAGAAAGACAAATAATCAGGAATATTTTTCATACTATTTCATCCAAGTAAGCTGAAAAAAATATAGTGTCAAAATTCATAGATCAAAAACTAAGTGTAAATGCCTTTTGTATGGAATCTTACGTAGTGAAGAATTGTTCATCTCTACAGAAACTAATATTTGAAAATAAAATCCCATCCTGTATTACTCTGTACCTGATAAAAAGACAACAGTAATTATAAATTATAGCAGATTTGTTTAACTATGTGTATCATAATGTGCATAAGGCCTGTCAAACATTTTGCCTAAGATATAATGCAGCCTATCAATACAATATATTTTTAATATAATACCATTGTTAAGCTTAAGGAAAAATATAAATACTTCATAAAATTTATTTAATAAATTTGTATGTCATCCATCTCCCTATAAGCAGATTGAGCGGTTAAAATGAAAAAAAAATTGAAAATATAGTTTATCATAGTCCTTTATAATAGTTTATCTAGCCATGTATTATTATACATATTATTGTATAATAATACAATATTCAAGCATACTATTTTTTTTCAGCTGCCTCTATATTAGAGCTCTACATTGAACATACCAAATCACAGTAAAGATCAGAACAAATTATCCAAAGATCTGTGAATTTCAATGGTCTATAATGAAAATGACAGGAGGTCCTACCCATAAATGAAAACGTTTTATGTTTTGATTGCAAAATATTTCCTTACGTGTTAGAAGTAATTTCTAGATAAGCTTTTGAGGAGTAACTGGACTTTGAATAGTCCCTTTTATTAAAGCCACACAACTACAAGCAGTGATGACTGAAAACTCATGATGGACTGATACAATCTGCAGCAGAAGCCAGTTCAGAGCACCTGGGATTTTGCCTAAAAGTGCAAAGGAAATGCATACCTTTGGCTACACAAGGAAAGCTCTAATACAGAAAGCGGATTATGTCTAAGGAATGCATGTCAATAAAGTCCCACAGTTCTACTCACTACATCTTGGCAAATTTTACTCACAAAACAAGATTATCTCCTCCAACTCATGAATGCAAGTTTTGATTAGTAAGTAAACACCTTTTTATCGATGTATATCTCCACAATAGGGAAGAAACTGTATTGCTTCTTCTAACAAGGGTCTTATTTCAAGTGAACAATTACTTTGAGTTTCTGTTATGTCTTTTAAAATCTTTCACATTCCATTGCAATACAGCGTAATACCTTCCTATTGAAAGATAATTGAACAGCGTCTAGCAGAGATTTGTTTATGACAACAATGTAGTATAATACAGTATTGATTTATTTAAACTTATTTACGTATTAAATTTGCTTGTTGACCATCTTTCTGCAAGGCAAGGCAATACTGTGCATATCTTGGGCCAGTCACTCTCTTTCAGCCCAACCCACCTGACAGGGTTGTTGTGAAAAAAATAGGAGGAAGAAGGTATGTATGTTGGATATGTTTGCTAGCTTGAGTTATTTATTTGTAAAAAAAAAAAGATGGGAAAGAAATAAAATGACAGCAGTTTGGATTTCCTCACTAAAATCCCACCCCAAAAGACACTTTTCAAGTCACAATATAAACTGCTTCTCACAAGCTTCTTCCAAATCTAACCTAAATCTAAATGCATAACTTAAATATCCTGCACATAAAAGCTTTATGTCTGATATGTCAGATTTGTAAGTTTTACTTACAAATAAAACAGTTCAAAAATGGAGTATAAATTCCTACTTTTGCTATCTTTATATTTGGGAGAGAGGGATGTTTTCTCCACTAGCTTTCTATGTGCAGCATTCATTCATGTAGAGCAGAATGGAGAACCAGATCCCACCCTAATCCATATTTAGGAAACTTCATGAAGTAACATGAAAAGCTCATTATAGGAGCAATTCTAACCCAAACATTTGCTTGCGGTGTAGGTTTCCTCTTGCAGACATTATTGCACAAAAGGTGAACTTACAGTCTGAAAATGCTCAATTTAATTAGCATTTTGCTTTGCCACGTCTACCATTGTACAGAGGCAGACAGAGGAAAGATTCAAAGAGTGATTGCTTTAGAATGCAACATTTATTCCACAAGTTCAAGTTTATTACAGGCATTGATTCAATATTTTACACAAATCCAAAATTATAAAGTATCAAAAAAAAAATTTGGACCCAAGGAAAAGATAAAATAGATTTGTGAAGTATGTAAAGAGTTGAAGCGTAATTCCTAAGATAGTAGAAAGAGAATAAAACATTAAACAGAAATAAGATACTAAAAAAACATATCAATAAAATATGTTTACTTTGGTATTAAGCACTACATTTATAAAAAACCACCAAATCTTAGACTGTTAAGAAAAACTTTATTAGGCATAATTTCCCAGTGAATGTCTATAAAATCAAAAGAAACATTTGATTGGAGGGGGGGATGTTATAATGCTAAACACTGACACAGAAAACACATCCAGATCACCCCCACACACACCTCTGCCTGCTGCTTGGATAGGTAATCAACTTGCCTGCACTATGCTGGGTGTGGCTATTGCCAAACACCATTAGCCTCTGTGCCCTCACTGCCTTTGGTGCTGGCCACATCCACCCACACCCTACCTCGGCTGATGATGATCTTAACTGGGGCTTATTTTTGGGATAGGACCAGAGGTGGGTTCCTACCAGTTGGCACCAGTTCAGTACAACTGGTTCGTCAAATCTACTGAACCGGTTAGAAGAGGTTCCACCAGTGGACCCGGAAAGCAGGCCACACCTACGGAAGAGGTTCCAAAAAAATTTGAAACCCACCACTGACACACACACACACACACACACACACACACA